CATATTCTGGTGAGTTTGTTAGAACAGATTATTGGGCACCAAAAATGTTTCTGATTTAGTAGATTTAAGATGGGCAATTGCATTTTTTAAGAAGCTCCCAGTTAATGTCAACACTAAATGAAATAGCTTTTGATCTCCATAGACAAATCTATGAATGAAGATGGGTTTTTTAATATTGCTTGAATAAAATGAGTCTTCCTGGTAGTGGCGGGTCTTTGAGTGTCACTGTGGTTTATACATTTTGGAGCAGAGCCTCTTTCTCTCATTACTCTAGGCAGAGAGGGAGACAGGACTCACAGGCTTGGAAAAGGCACACTGGGGAGAGGACCACATCCTGGGAGAGACCAGATAAAACACCAGGCAATGAAGCACTGCGTCGAGAGTGGGGCAAGGAGACTCTCTCCCCATTGTGGTGTTTATCTTTTTCACCATCTCACTTTATCTCCTGCTGTTGAAGGCTAAGGCACTCCGAGCATAGGTTTAAATCATTGTGGATATGACACTATTCATATACAGTGCATAGTAATACTTATGCTCATTCTGGGCCCCTGTGAAGACAGCTTTGTTTGTCTCCCTGGAAGGCAATCAGAGACCCCAGAGGGGCGGTTGTTCATCCTGTAGATAAGTTTGTGGGGGGCCCAGCCTGGTGTTTGCTGGATCAGCTGGGGTGGTGACCTGTAGAGACTGACTGAGCTAAGACCACATGACTGTCCCTCATGTAGACACAGACAGTGATGGCCCTGGGTCACCACGGTCTCAGGATCTGTCCCTAAAATTCATAAGAGAGACACAGTTATTGCTATGGCGATGAGGATCCACCTTCACTTAGATTTCTGTGTGACCCCCATGGATGCAAAGCCCCTTTCCCTGACCTGAGCCATAAGTGAGGAGGCGGAGAAACAGCATCATCCAGGCCACCCACTATGGGGACACTCAGGAGACCTCAGCATCTTCAGGCTTCTCAGCTAGGATTGCTGTTCTTGGGGCCTTTTCATGTCTCCCCAGACCACCTAACTGAGGTTATTTATACAAATCAGCTTCCCCTTTTTTTCCTGTCCCAGTGTTTATCCTGCTGTCCCCAGGAGAGGCCTTGAGAGAGGCAGATGATGGGATCTCACACTGACCCGTGGCCACACAGAGACAGACACTGAGGGATGTGGGCTGACATCTCACCAATTTCAGTGCCCTACGACCCACTACGGAGCCCAGTCCTACATTTCTTCATCAGGGTATCTGACTACGGCTCAGTGCCTCTTCAGCCCGGCTCCCTCCATGTTCCACAGTCATTATCCAGGATTGCAGAAATAATCCTAGCCTCAGTCCAAATTATTCCTGGTGTTGTCTTGGTATAACATGGATTTTATGGCAAATGTGTTGAGGAAGCTTTGCAATTATCAGCTATGTTCATAAATAAATTGTCATAATTTTCAATCAAATCTGATATTGTTTCTGTTGAGTGGGGCTTCATTAATTTGCAAGAATGAGAAAATGAGTTTGGGCTATGTTCTGTGTCTCACACTAATTCATTCATTCTCTCTCTCTCTCTCTCTCCCTCTGTCTCCCCCCTCCCTCCCTCTCTATTTCTCTTGCTCTCTTATCTGCCTCCAGTAGCAGTGGTTGTGGCGGGAAGCGGGGAGCTCTAGGAAGCCATTAGCTGTATGGAGTAGCTTCAGTGGAACTGCAATTTTGAGGAGAAATGTAACAAGATCCCATGAAATTATGAAATTCCTCACAACATGAGCTATAAAACGGGAAAACATGCTCTTCAGCAGAAATAGAAATAATGATGTATATAAATTGGTTGACGTGAACATCGTGAAGCAATAAAACACCCTTTAGTGCCTGTGGAGCAGAGGGAATGGTAAGGTGGGAAAGAGGACTTGGGAGGTAAGAATGAGTAGGAGTGGAAAAAAAAAAAAAAAAAAAAAAAACTTAAGACCTAGACATTGTCGATGACAGAGTCAGCACCATGTGGCCCAGGCCCAGGACTCCGGAAAGGGGGTGAGAAGGTGGTAGAAAGACAGAGATGACTGATCCCGTGTTCCCAGATGGTGGGAGCAAAAGGCAATGCAAATCAATCTTCCTGTCGTGTCCTCTCTCCAGTCCCCTAGGGGAAACTCCTTGAACAATGAGTGAGGAGGGTGAAGAGAGGAATCCAGGACATGGCAGGGAAGTCTCTGGAGCTCTGCTTGCTGAAATCTAGTAGTGGTCATGTAGACCCTCCCCTCTCCATGTTTCTGTGGTCCCATTCCCAGGTAGCTGTGTAGCTTGAGTTTCTTCATGCGGATTTGTTCCACCGTCCATCTGTCCCTGCCTGGATGTCAGGCTTGGACACTGACTTCACGAGGGCGGAAGATGACGTAGAAAGCAAGGGTGTGCATTAGAGCCCAGTGCTCAGGTGGCTCCTGGGCACCCAGGTACAGAAAAATCCCACTTCAGTGAGGTCACTGCTTGCCTAAGTAGGTGAAGACCTGTAGCTTATTTTCCTATGTGGCCTGGCTGAGCACCCTCTCAGGACCAGTCTCACAGCACCTGCTTCTGGCCTCAGGACCCACCTCCTCCAGCCCCTCCAACACCACCCAGCAATCCTGGAAGGACATCCTGACCATTGCACATGGATCTTTCTGAGGTCACTCCCAGGGCAGTGGAATGAATAGGTCACCTCTGTGGTGTTAGAGACTGGGACATTAACTCTTTTGGGTTACCAGTGACATCCAGACAGCTACATACAAGGTGTGTGTCACAGCAATTATGTTCCCAGATATTTCAGGATTGCCTGCCATTTGAGTTTGTTTTCACTAGGTGCCCGGGGTCATTACCAGTTTATGACCATTTTTAACCAATCAAGGCTTAGTATTCCCAGGGGTTTTTCACCTGGTAATAATCCTTCATGGGTGATTTGTACATGGCTGTTGTTGTTGGTAGAATCTCCTGTTAATTTTATCAGCTGTTGTTGTAGAGGGTGTAGCTGTTGATGTCTGTCTGACAAAATAACATAAAACTGACAGGGAAAATTATCTTCTTCTTTTTGTTACTTCTCTGCATTCCCATTTGCCCTTGAATATTAGTCCAGAAATTTCTCATTTTCTTCTGACTCTGATATGTTCAAAAATATTTTCGGTATAGGTCTAGTTATAATTTTTAAAGTAGGAGGATTCATATAAAAATAACAGTATTATATTCTGAACTTCTCTCTTTTCTTAGGAGGTTCTCCTCTGCTCCTGCAGTAAACAAAGAAACAAACGAACAAGCCCTCAAGACTTCTTACCTAAATTGGCACCCAAACAAGCTTATTTAAGGGCTTATTGGGGGAAGGGTTTATAATGTTTATAAGAATATATTTGCCCAATGTTACATCAACCAAAGAAACAGAGGGAAACTGTTTAAAACTAACTGACCTAAACCTGAGAAAGTAAACCAGTGATGAGCCTGACAGCATGTCCTTAAAGAGGACGGGTCACTCTATACCTAGAAATTCAGGAGCTCCTCAAGACCACCATCTCAACAGAAACAGAAACACAACTTCCTTGAAGTTTCAGAGTTCGGGGAGTGACCAGCAAAGACTAAGCACAAAGCATGGACGTGAGTGAGCCAGGAAGGGGCCATGCATGCTGGACTTCTGTGCTACTTGTCATCCCACGAGCAACCCAGAAGACTGTGCTTCTGGGGACAAAATGATTTTGCTTGCATTGGAAGACCAGTAAGAAAAGGGAGTATTTTCAGTGACTCTGTAAACATAGACCAAGGCTTGAGCATGAGAAGAGTTCAGGCAGTAGGCCGTGATGGACACAGTCTCTGGACCTCACAGTGGGGTTCATCGTCCCCAGGCTTGTCTATTTTCCCTCCTGCCCCCAGAGAAAATGAGATGTTTGTGGAAATCCACTCCCTCCCTCTCGGCTAGCTCAGTTCCTATCTGATCACCGATTCAGGAGCCTGAGAGGAGATCTGAGGACAGAGGAGGTTGAGGAAGGAGATGCCCTGAGTGTGGGCCCAGGAGGGTCCTGGAGGGAGCAGCTATTGGGAACAGGCACAGAACTCTGCCCTAGGGCCTCTGTGGAACGCTGAGAGCAGCAGGCTGCTGAGTCTCATCAGTGAGCACAGGGTGCATCTCAGCTTCTGCCAGCCTGTGGCCAGTGGGGCTCACCCAGCTGTGAGGAGTCCTCAGGCAGGGCCTGGGACAGTTACCCATTGCCTCTGCTGGTCACAGGCCCATCGTGGGTGTCTACAGGGGTCCTCAGGCTTAATGCTTGAGAACTGGCATCTGCAGTGAAGGAAGTCTTGTGTGAGGGGGGGGTGTTGTGCCCTTAACCTGTGAAATTTGACATCAGTTCAGGAATTTGTCATCAGAAAGCACTGCAGAGTAATTCCAGAGAGCTCTCTCCCTGCATGTGAGGGAATTCATTCTGTGGAGGGCAGTGGGGGCCTCCCCACAGTCTCAGACACAGAGCAGGTTCACATTCTCCTATCTTCACATGTGTCAGTTGTCTCTTTCTCTCTTTCTAGCGCAGCCAAGCACATGCACCACGAGAGCTCTGTGCACATGGAGGTGATGGGAGATGGCTGAAGTCCATTAATTATGTGACCCTATGAGTCAGGGTGAAGGCCTTCTGTCTCCAGGAAAGTTATCAGTTGCCAACATTGTACGGGGAGCTTGCAAATGTTGAATATGAACAAAGGTACTGACGCTGGTGACAGTGATTTCCCTATGAATCCACCTGTGGGCAGCTCTACAACCTGGAAACTTAAATCCCGTCAGGGGACAGGTGAGTGTCAACAACCATAAATGATCATGTGCAAACTCTATTGTTTCAAAAGCTCCTGAGAACATATTTGCACACAGGGAACATTTGCTGTGAATTAGAACTCCGAAATGCCTAGGAAGGTGAAACATTTAAATACAGGGTTAGGAGACAGCCCTCTGAACTGCGAGTGAGGCCAATAGGAAGAAAGTAAAGACAGGGCAGATCAGCCAGAGGTTTTTGTCTCACTTCCCCTCTGCCTGTGTCACTGTGGGTTACACGAAGCTGCTCCCACTGCCATGGTCTGACCCACAGTGGTAATCACTCTCATCCTCTTCCTGAATGTTCTTGATGGTCAGGTACCGATTCAGTCTGGAGCCTGAGACTGAGAAGCGATCAGGGATTCCATCCCCCTTGGATCCTACAATCCCACCAGTGCCCACTCGCATCACAAACCGGGGACCCTTCTCTGGTCTCTGTTGGTACCAGTCCACCGCATAATTACTGTAGCCGCTGCTCAGGGTGCAGGTGAGTGTGACCGAGGCTCCCAGGGAGGCCGATGTGGAGGCTGGCTGAGTCAGCACAGGCTGGGAGAGGGACCCTGGAAACACAGACACCTATGAGGGCTCCTCTTGGTGGGTGGCTGATAAGCTGTTAAAGGAGGAAGAACAGGGGTGGGGAACAGGGGGCTGGGAGGTGGGGGTCCCTCTGGAGGCCCTGTCCGTTGCTCACCGTGGCCTGTGAGGAGACTGAGGAGGGTGAGGAGCAGAGGGGCCCAGGCCATGGCGGAGATGCTGCAATGCTGTGTTCTCCAACCTCTCAGCTGCGCCTGAGCCCCCAAAGCCTCTTATTCCTTCAGTGTAGGACTGGGCAGGGGCATCACCTTGCATGCAAATCTGGTCTGTCCTAGGGCTGGTGATTAACAAGGGCAGGGTTCAGAGCAAGAATGCAGGTCTCTTAGGATTCAGAGTTTGCCTTCCTCTAGTGGCCAGGCGCTGCCTCACACTGAGGGCTCAGACAAAGTCTCCCTGGGCCCCTGCTTCACCTGGAGCCCAAGTGGGTCTCCTGGAAATTTCTCAGGCTCAATTTCTAATGTCTCAGGAATCTCCACAGTGCTTCTTTCCGTTTGGGGTCCCACAGTGGGATGCAGTCACTAGATCAGTTCATCCTGGAGCCCTCCCAAGGCACCTGTTCCAACTTTTGTTATAGGACAGGCGAGCCCTTTAACTGGTATTCAACGCATACAGAAGATGTGTCCACACTTGCAGATGACCACCTTCTCACTGTGTCCTCATCTCATTTTATGTCGTCCATGTTTTAATATCCTCCTCTTATAAGGATACCGGTCCGTATACTCTCATTTCATCTTAACAACTCTCTGTAAGGCTCTGTCTCCCAATACAGTAACATTGGGGGTTAAGGCTTCAATGTGAATTATGGACAGTTTAGTCTATAATGATCAGTAAATACAGTACTTTTTTAATTGATGGGAATGAGTTAGAATAGAATAAACATATAAGTGTGAAAAGGAAAAAATTATGAATATAACATTTTATATATTTTGACATTTGAACGAGTATATTTTTGTCATAAAATACACACAACATAACATTTGCATTTTAAATCACTTTTAACTGCAGAATTCAGTGGTGTTCAGTACATTCACAATGTAATGCAATTTTCGGCATGGTGGGTTGCACCTGTAGTCCCATCTACTCAGGAGTCTGAGGCGGGAGGCTTGCCTACGCCCAAGAGTGTCAGGTTGCAGTGAGCTATCGTTGCAACACTGAACATTAGTCTGGGCAACAGAGCAGGACCCCATTCTCAAAAAAAAAAAAGTGATGCAGTCATCACCATTATTAATTTCCATGGCTTTCTCATCATCCCAAATGGAAAGTTTCTATCCTTTAAACATTTATTTCTTATCCCCACTCCCCTAGCCCCTGGTAACCAGTGGAAAAGGTGGAGATTGAAAAACTGAATGAAGGAGAACTCAGGGCTCTAGGACATGGTATAGAAAGAAGCAGAGCATGACCCGCCCATGCTGGCTCCTGGGAGATGCTGCTTGAGCAGGTGAGAGTTGGCTGTGGCTGTTTCTATCCCTGAAAAACCACATTGATGCAGGCCGCCCACTGTGGGGTGCAGTATCAGGTCTCAGCAGTCTAATGGCAGTGCGTCCTGTGATTGCACCTTTCTCCCCCACAATGAGTCAGAAATAAGCACTGACAGCCCAGGACTTTTGCTGGGGCACAGGACACGTAATTCATTACCACTTCCTATGTGTATTCTCCCCACAGTCACGTTTCCTCTAGAGACTTCCGAAATATCCTGCTGTCCGTCCAATTTCCTCATGGTGGTCAGGGAGAATTTTGTCAGTAGAACATTGATACTGCTTGCCAATATGCTAAAGAGAGTTTGAGTCTATGGGAGAAAAAGAGATTGTACATAGTTTCGACATCTACTACTATTCATGTTGATTGTGTGCCATTCTTTTCTGGAATCAGAAATAACTATGGACCACGTGCCCTCTATTTTATGTCTTGAAAAATTTTTCTTCATATTTGGTAGCACTGTCTGATGATGCCACATGGTTTGGACTTTTGAATGAGAATGTTTGATCATTGAATACACACACACACACACTCACATGCACACACACTCACACACACACCCAGAGAGAACAGAGAGAGAGAGATCTGTGGACAGTTGAGCTAGCACAGGCTGGCCTAGGACACAGTGAGTAAAGAGACAAGCCAGGAAGAATAGAATGAGCCAACACTTGTACTTACATGCCAGGAGGGTAAGACAGTGAGGGTGCCCCTCAGAGTCCTTATATTTGCCCCCGAAGGACCTTCTTGTTCAGTGATTGAACTGGAGGCAGATCCAGGGCATGAAGAATATGCCTCCAGAATTGAACTGCCTGAGTCCTCAATTATGGGGCTGACAGTGTCTCTTCCTAAATTTTCTCTTATTCTCAAACAGGTGTCAGATCACACTTTTTCATCAAACGTGAAGTAAGTAAGGATCACATTTCAGAGGGGACTCTGCCTGCTCACGTATGTGAGAGCCAGTAGAGTATTTTCGTTTCAGGACCAGTCCCACAGCGCCCCCTGCTGGCCTCAGGTCCCAGGTCCTCCAGCCCCTCTGACACTGCCCAGCTCTCCTGGATGGGCATCCTGACTATTACAGATGGATCTTTCTGATGCCACCACTCAGGACAGTAGAATGGTTGTTGTTCTCCAACGGATTTGAGCTGAGACATCATTTGCCTCTTGGTCACTGTTGATCTCTGAGCTGCCCAATACATACAGTATTGTGCCATCCTTATTGTTACCAGATATTTCATTATAACTGGGCATTCAAGATTTTTTTCCAGGTTCCTGGAGTCATTATCAATCCAGCACCATCTAAAACTAAGTTGAAGGCTTAAAATTCCCCCAGATTACTCCATTAGTTCTGACCTGTTAAAAATTCTACCTGTAAGGCCGGGCGCGGTGGCTCAAGCCTGTAATCCCAGCACTTTGGGAGGCCGAGGCGGGTGGATCACGAGGTCAAGAGATCGAGACCATCCTGGTCAACATGGTGAAACCCCGTCTCTACTAAAAATACAAAAAATTAGCTGGGCATGGTGGCGCGTGCCTGTAATCCCAGCGACTCAGGAGGCTGAGGCAGGAGAATTGCCTGAACCCAGGAGGCAGAGGTTGCGGTGAGCCGAGATCGCGCCATTGCACTCCAGCCTGGGTAACAAGAGCGAAACTCCGTCTCAAAAAAAAAAAAAATTCTACCTGTGTCTCTTCCACAGTTGCTCTGAGTATTATCAGTTATTGTCGGTGTGAGGCTTTACTGCTAGATTCCCCGACTCTCACGGCACAGGCTCTGGAATTTGGTGTCTTTTTTGCTAGGAGAAGAGGATGTTGTCCAGAAAAACTGTCTTCTGCTCTTGCTTCTCACTCTGGGTTTCTCTTTGTCCTTCGTTGTTAGCTTGGCACTCGTTATGTTCCTGTGACTCTCTGACATCATAAAGATTTCTGAGTCTGTTTTTAAATTGCTCTGGGCATGGGGCTTGATATAAATATACTATAGCTACAAACAGACCCTCCTCTTTAGAGGTCTTTCTTCCACTCCTGGTTAAGGGGTCCCGGTGGACTTTCCCCCCGCCACACTCACACATGTTGATCCCTGATCAAGGTTATCTGGTAAATGTTTCATAACTGACAGTGAAGAATAACAGGATGGTTGGGAAATGTTCATGAATATTGAGATCACCTGTGATAACGGAGGTTGGAACCATAAGCTCTAGGCCCAAAGAACTCAGGTTTATCCAGGGCCATTGCAAACAATTGATTTTTAAAAACATACAGAGCAAGAATAACCAGGATTTGAGAGATTAAAGAGGGGAAATTGAGTATGTGTGGTTCTGAGAACCGACTCCCGAGAACCATGGGGAGCTTACATGCTATACCGGAGACTTCAGAACATCCTTGAGGGTGTAATCTAAGAAGAAAGACAGAACTCATCTCTCCACAGTTTTGCTGCCCAGGAAACAAGAACAGCTGCACCAAAAGGAGGGGGCACCTGTGGGCCAGGTAGAAGACGCCTGGATCTCTGGGTCACACAGGCTGGATTCATCTTTCTTCTTGTCTCCACCCCATCCACACCCACCATGTATGGGCAGCTTCTTTGGCTTCAAAAAACAAATTAAATTTGTTTGCATTGGGAGACCAGTAAGAAAAGGAGTGATTTTCACTGAACCCGTGCGCTGCTTTCAGTAGCACAGGTGACAGCAGAAGCCCTAGCATGAACTGGTGTTGGTCACAGGGATAGAGGAGGGATGGGGCAGTCAGGAGGAGTGGGGGTAGATCTTTCTCTCACTTCGCCATGGAATTGAAGCCCTTGGTGACATAAAGTCTGGGCACAGCCGTGTGACAGTGATAATCAGCCTCATCCTCAGGCTGGAGCCTGGAGCTGGTCAAGGAGGCTGTGTGGAGTAGAAGAATCGGGCTGGGAGCCCTGAAGATCCATGACTGCTGACTTAGGTCACGAACTTAGGAGCTCTCTCTGGGAGGGAGGTAGCCATTTCCATGGGAATGCCCAGTGTTTCTGCTGCTCCCATGCAGGAAAAGCTGACCGTGTGATCTGGACACTGGTTGTAGCACATTTGGACAACAAGACAGTATTTCAGTGTCATCAGGTCGTGTTGTTTTGTTTTGTATTTTCTGAGACTTCAGAAAGAACAAATGCAAAATTGAGAGGAGCCTTTTACAACTCGAGTGTACTTACAAAGACAGTTTGTGTCTAGGCAAGTTATTTTAAAATTTGAAAATTTTCACAGAACAAGAGCAAGAAAGGGTGAGGTTTTTGTCCCACTTCCCCATCTGTGTGTGTCACTGTGAGAAGCACTGCTGTGCCCAATCATACAGTAATAGTCAGCCTCATCTTCAGACTGGAGCCCAGAGATGAGTAAGAGCCCTGCGTTGGCAGAGGCATCTTTGGATCCAGAGAAGCGGCTGGGGACTCCAGCACCTTGGTGCTTATCTGAGTCTGTGTGGTAGTACAGGAGATACCTGGGAGCGCTCTCTGACTTCTGCTGGTACCAGTATATAGCTTTGCCACCAACACTTATGTCACTCCTAAGTGTGCAGGTGAGTCTGGCTGAAGCTCCAGGAGATCCAGAGAGAAAGGCTGGCTGAGTCAGCACAGGCTGGGAGAGAGAACCTGGAAATGCAGACACTCGTGAGAGAAAGGCAGGGATGAGGGTAAAGCTTTTCAGAGATCTTTACCAGAAGGGCCAGAGTCGGGCTGGGTGGTTGCCCCTGGTCTCTGAGGTCTGTTCCCACCTGTGCAGTG